GCCCCGATTTGAAATGTGTGACTAGATAGAGATAAATGCTTATGTTTCGTCGGCCACACCAACCGCAACTCATGGCTGTAGTGACATTTTCAATGATTATCCCGTATGCAAACCGACACAGCAAATTGCACTCTGTTTATTCAACATGTACAAAAAGAATAAAAGAGTTTTACAAACTGGCAGTAGTGGGAATGATTCGCATCGAACAACTCATTTAGTGTGTCGCGTAGATAATTTTAGCATTTCACAAAATGTAATTCGATTTTATTATACAAAGTCTTTGGTTGATCGCAAATTGTAAAGCAGTGTTCATTGCTTCGCAGCAATTAAAAGTTCATTTTCTGGCTTCAACGCGCTATCGACGGCGTGTAACATTTATTGACATTTGATTAATCATCCATGTACAAATACGTTCAATGGAACCGTGCACACACAAACACATCACTTAAACTTCTAAAGAGGAGAAAAAGAACCCAACATACCACAGTAACGAACATCAAGCGCGTTCTTATCGATGTTTTCTATTTTTGTGCTTTCGTTCGCTTCATTTGAAATGTGCGAAATATTTCAGCAACACATAATTATGGCGACACATTGTACACTTCTTCTATTTTACTGAAATAAAATGGTAAAAGAGTCATTATTAAAACGGTACAGAAAAAAAATGCGCAACAAAATGAATAGCATTGCATTTGCACAGGAAGAGAAGTAATGCGAATGAAGGAAATTGTAAAAGTAATGCCAATGGAAGCAATTCATTAAGGCATTGACGAGTGCTCAATTGAGATTGACGTAAGAAGAAATTGTGATGAAAATATCGTCTGAAGAGAGTCGAACAAGCGAAAAAAAGACGTCTCGTTTGATATCATTTTTCCCATTAAACTTTCACGTTTATGGTGTATATTTTTTTTCTGCATCGATAATTTGACGGAGACAAGAATATATTGCAAAAATATGTTACAGTGAAGTATGCTGCGGAAATTAAGAAAAAAGAAGCGTTTTAAAATCGCTTTTTTTTCAAATAATAAATATGCGAACGATTTACGCGGGTTCTACTCTGTGACGGTAGAAAACTATGTCAATGTGGTGATATCATTTCCTTGGTATTTATGAAATCGTTTTGTTGATGCTTGATATACGTTCACTCGTATTTTTCTTTTTTCAAAAACTCATTTTCGATTGCTCCGCGGTGCAAACCATGTACCGCTGTATATATTACTTTTTCATGTAATTTATTATTGTTTTGTATCGTTTTCTATAGCACTTCATTTTGTACGCCTTCGTTGTGTCAACATCAATAACAGCAGAATAAAAAAAAGAAGTGTTATATCGTTAGAATCCGTTGTGGAAAGAGGAAAAAAGTCTCCGTTTGACACTTTAATTGCACTTATGGTACACTCGTTCTGCGCACTGACCGTTGCTTACATATACCCATTGGAATGTATAAATATGCCAATTCATGACAAATTTATCGTTTCGCGCGCCTTTTGTATCGCATCGCGCGAAACAAAGTAATGTTGGTTAATTGCGCTGGCCGGTTATATGGTTTTCGAAATGGCAAAAACCGATTTAGAAAAATCGGTCAATGAACAGTAGTTAAACCTACCAGTAATTATCATCGATAGCACATTTAAGATAAGCATTCTTTGAAAAAACTTCTTTTTTTTGTTTTGCTGAAGTCAATCGATTTCCGCATTTTTGTTTTTCTTCAACATTTCTAATGAAACCATGAAACACAAAACTTTTGAAATTGAAACTTGAAAATTCCGTGTACAACTTTGAACGCTCGAGATACAGAGTAAAATATGTCCAGACACCATTCAATGGATTAAGTACCGAACCGGAGAGAGTGCAAGAGAGAAAGCATCTCGCTGTGGATAGGGACATTTGCTTTCGCTTGTAAATTGCAAATGTTTTAAATGGTTAAATGCTTCTTGTTTGTCGATAATTAAATAGTATTCCCTCGAGAGATAAATTGCACCGGTGTCACAATATCACAAGTGTGGGTTGTGTTGTTTCAACTAAACTCGAATTCCATGTTGCCGTACCAAGTGTCTTTTTTTCTGTAACCGAGGCAGCGCGCTCATCTCACTTATAAACCGAATCGAAACCAGTGGATCGAAACGATTTGGCTATGCTTTTTCGTGCATACTGGCAATGATAATAATATAATATGGTTTTGGGTGCTTGAAGTCAAACGAGAGAGAGAGTTAAGATGAATTTATGCCATATTATTCTACAAATAGTCAAGTAAATAGACTCTTGTCTCGTCTCATTTTACCCAAAATCGACGCACTGTTTATTTTTATGAGCCGCTTGAATTTTGCACGAAACGTTTCATTGCGGAAAATCACATAAGTAATCCAGTTTTTAAGTCAAAAAAGTAGCAAAAACTTTATGACTTTCAACACGAAATAATTTTGCAGCGAAAAAGACGAGAAATAGAAAATATTTTCATTTAACGTACACGAAATGGGTTTTGCGTCTGGTGGTATGTTTGGTTGTTCTTTCAGTTGACGGCGACTCGATTACAACATTTCACAAATAGACAAGCGCTTACTCAATATTATTTGCGGAACAGTTTTACTACATAACATTTCCGACTGTATATGAATGGGTTTTCTTGCCTTGTATTCGCTTAATATAAAGTGAAATAGTGACATAAACAATAAAAATGTTAATAACGTACAATTGCGCATCATCGTGATGACAGTAGCTAATAAATATATATATTTTTTCTAAACTGCTATGCATTGTCGACTTCACCATTTCGCTCCAATGACAACAAAGTGTACAAAGTTTAAATGTTAATGTGATGTTTTTTCGACGCTAAAAGAGGTATACATACATACATTTCAAATATGAACGCACCCATTTCACTTTCGCTCATTATTTTATCAACAAAACACCGTCAAAATATATTATATTATATTAAGATAAAATGAAATGATAAAAACGAAAATGAAAAGACTGGGTTAAGCAAATAAAGAGGTAAAATTACAGCAAATAGAACGAATTTAACTTTCTTAAAAGTTGAAGATTATTTATATTCTGTTTGCTTGCGCTAGTCGCAAAGGAACTCTAACAAGTGGTAATGACAAACAAATGCAAACATCTTGTGCAAACATATTAAAATATGATAGAATTATCACATTGAGGTTGATGCGTTCTGGAGTGTGTATTCAAATCTTAATTGTTTATGACTTTTGAACTGCTTCATTTATATTGCATTCAAGCGAAGTTTTCTGAAGCTGAAGAAGCGTCAATTCAGTTTCCATTTTCCGAAAGTTGGGTACTTCATTCATCGAATTTGTTTGCCATACAAATGATATGACACACTTGAAAGTTTAAAAGTCGTGTTGTTATCGAACAAAGAATTTGAATCACTTCAATAGATGATTCCGACTGCGAAGAGAGTTGATTGAATCACGAAAGCAAATGAAATGTAATTTCCATCGACAAAGTTCTTGGAATATAGAAACGTTACGCTGAATAAATTGACATTGGATTGTGTCACTCTGTGTGTATATGAATGAAACTTTGTTTTAGTTTTCATATTCATGCATTCATGCCGTTTGAATTTCAAAAACTTTCAAATTTTAATATGTGAAAAATTTGTTTAACTTCTGTATTCGATTCCAGCAACTCCAAGTACTGGATACAAAATTTAACAAAAAAAATGACTACTGAATTATAAATGTATTTCAATATTTATGATTTTAATTTTGAGATGAGTTTTTGCTTTTTTGCCTCGAGATATTTTCTTCGTATGCAACGATGAGAGGAAAACAAAGTGCATTTAAAAAAAAAATATGTAAAATATGAAAATATTTTGCAAACATTCAATGAAAACGACAACAGAAAGGAAATCATACACTCACCGGACAAAGAATGAACATCTACATTTGCCGTGAGTATCCGTCGTCGCTGTTTGTTTTTGACAGCATGAACATTGAATGTACCATAACAAAAGTTGCAATAATAAACTTTGCATTGGATATTTTTTGTCTGTCTGTTTTGTGAAGCCATGCACTCGAAATTAGTTACTGTACGCTTGCATTGTGCATCGTTGTATTGTACAAATACGGCTCTCATATACATATTTTGCGCAAATATTCGTATAATACCGAAGTTTTTACATTTTTGTATTTGTTTCAGTTTCGTCGTTGAAATATTTAAATGAAGAAAATTGAATATTCTTCGTATTTGCTTTTGTCCACAATCGTCGTGCTCTTTTTACATGTTCTCCGCGTAACGTGGACTAGACATAGGTAATCAAATGTTGATCCGAATCGTTTCTTTTATGTATCTCATTGATGGTGCATGTTAAAATCTGAAATTTGTTCTCCAAATAATAATTGAGCAATGAAATGTGTTTTTGCTTCTATCTCCATATTTAACGTCATTTCCGGGGGTTTTCTCATGTTATCGATAGGGAACTTTGCACGTGCCATTTAAACATCACGAAGAACTGCGGTGTGTGTGTATATATTTTATCGGAGACTATTTGAAATCTATATTTAAAAAACACGGGATACTTGCATTGTTCAGTTCAACGGATAACGATTCAATTCAATATTTGAAAAGAAATGGTTGCGACACTGTTTACCTTTTTTGGGATGGAACCAATTTTTCGACGTGACATCGGCATAAAAAAATCGATCCATTTCAATGTTCACTAGAAATTAATAACCATTCGTGCTGGGTGCATGCAATCGAAAGGAAGTTGGTTTGTTGATAAAAAAAAACCCATTTAAACCGTGCACACGGAAATCCATCTGATACAAATGATAATGAGAAAATCATGGTGATAATAACATTTTGAACTTTATGTGGTGCAATTTTCAATTAAAATCACACAACAGCAAATAATAATTTATGACAAATGATCAGATCACACGCGATGCCTGCGTTATAGTGGATTATCTTTGAATTAATTACGTTCAAATTTTCATATAAAATACGATCGGATTACTCAGGTCCACTCCAGTTCATTTATAATTTTTGAGTCAATTAAATCGAAATGGAGTTGAAACAAGTAGAATGTTTAAATGTGGTCATCATTTTGTCGGTGTTTTGTTTGGGACAAATTTTGGCCTGTAATAATAATACCCGAGTAAAACGTGAAGGACCTGATGTTTCGACCATTTTTTTGGAGGGCGCTGCACAAATAAAGGAAACTCTAGATAATGGTGCTGCTTTCAAAAAAAATTACTCAATTAAAGCAGGTATTCAAGTCTTACATAAATCTAAATGAGTTCATTGTGAAACCGATCTTTTTTTCGAAACAAAAAGGTCCCGTTCAATTCAACGATAGTATAAAAGTTGGATTTGGTCGTGCAATGGATGATCCCACAACAGAATCAGGTGAACGTCGTAAACGAAGCGTTAATGATGAATTTGAAAGTGAAGGGAATTTTCAAAGAAATGATGGTATTCGTCAAAAAAGAAGCCCTCATCCAAATCCTTCAATTTTTACCAATCAATTAATCAATTCATTGTCGGACACAATTTATCGGACAAAACGACAAGCTGAAATGCAAAAAAATAGCCCTAGTGGTTTTGTAGCTACAGCAACAGAAATGTTCAATCATGTGGCAACTATATTTAAGGACTGTGTCAACAAAGTTAAATCTTTGGTTGGTGGTGCAGCGGGTGGAATGCCACAACAAAGAGGCCTTGGATCTAACGGTGCTGCAGTTTCACCATAAAAAATCTATTCTTTTTCAGTTTTTTTCTGGTTTTTTTTCGTGTGCTTGAATTGAATGAATAAAAGACCCCAAAATCAAACAGTAGTTCGATATTATTTTGTTGACATTTCGATGAAATTCATTTTCTCATAGATTCATTTTGAAAAGGTTGAATAAAAATATGGTTCCATTTACACACTCTACTCGATATATTTACCTTTAATTTCATTTCAAGAAATTCCGCTCTTGCACGCAATTTCCTGTAAAATGAAAAAAAAAACCAACTTTTCAATTAAATCAGAGAAACATATGGTCAAATATGTGTACGGTTAACGACCCTCCAACCTACTAAAATCCAATAATACTATGACTATGTTGGTTTTTTTTTCTTCATAAAAAACGGAACTCAGCCAAGCAAAAAACATCGACATTCCGTGTGCAGGTCTTTCAATTCTTTGTTGGTTATGAGGTATTTTCAGCACAATATTGCTCTATGCTCGACAAATTCCGATTCTTTTTAGTCTTTAAATTGAATTCCACATACGAAAATCTAATAACAATTTTCCATGTCATGATTTATATCGAATTTACCTCCGCTTTTGACACACATACCAAGCACCATTTTAAAAGAGAACAAACAATCGATAAGAATACCCCATCCATGTAATGAATACAATTTTACAAGTACAAACGTTGAGAATACGCTTTTAGTTGAGTGGAAATGGCTGGTCGCACATTGTCTTTGTAATATTTTATGGAAATGCAATCCATAAAACCATTTATCAGAATAAAACATTTTATGGAGTCGACGATTTCTCTCTCCCTTTGGTGAAATCATTTTTCGGGATCGGTAAATAAAAATGTATATGCATTGAAGTGCGTAAAAGTGGCACGAATCACGAAAGAGAAACTACTGCATTAGTAGTATATAATGGTTTGATAGCAGTTAAAGTCACAATTGATGCAATTCTTTTAAGTAAAAATAATGCGCCATTGGATGCAACAATTCAAGATTAACGAATGGGGAATTCATTCAAACGCAGTTTAACGTTCATGCTTTGGTCACATAAGCTTCTGAGTGTGTCATCCAATAAAAAGATTAATCGCTATGATACAGCAGAACATATACAAATACAACCTCTAGGTAACATCTGTAGTCTAGCGTATCATTTTGAAATTGCAAATAAAAGAGTTTTCAATTAGAAACGAAATGGCAATAAAATCAATTACTAATTTTATGGTACAATTGTAAGCAATTCATAAAATATAGTGAACCAATGTAGGGTGGTTGGTATGGTTCACAAAAACATGCATCATTTATAAATTACAAGTGAAGATTACCAATTTATTTGGGAAAACAACACAAATATAACAATTTTGATAATGTAAAAAATAAAGTCGATTTTGGTGTTTTATTGAGCGTGCAGGTCTCAACTCTATAAATGATTCAATACCAACATATGATGAACAAGGTGTGATTAAATTGTTTTTGGCGAAAATTTATAGAAAATATCATGTGGTACATCCGCACTCAATTGCTAATTACACTTTGTAATCGATCACAATGCTATCAATCAAATTCAAATTAATTTCAATAAGTGTGGTAACTCTGCCATAAAGCAATATGGTTTCATGTCGGCAAAAAACAGCAATAATTAAAGTAATTTAGATGTAATCTATTGTGGGTTTGTTATCAGTGAATTACTATCGAAAAAAGCGGAAATGTTATATGTTTGCGGAAAGTTCCACCGAATAGAATTTGAAACGTAATTTCAGTTCATAGGCATTTTCCATATGTAATGAATTGAATTTTATAGCATTTCAATATTCATCGAAATTTGAACGCGCAAAAATAGAAACTACTTGTGTGGTTCCTTTTAACGTGTTGTTTATTCAAGTCTAATAGAAAAACACGTCAAAAATGAGAGAGAGAGTCGTAATAATTATTGAATGCACGCAATCCAATCATATATGTTGAAGATTTTGAATCAAAATCTTCCTATGAGATAGTACAGAGTTCTTCACAATTACCGATAGTGTTAAATAATTACGATTCTTTAACATGTGATCAATTAGTTATTGATGTGTCTTTGGAGTTTATATAAATAGCAAAGAATTTGCACTAAAACTTTAGTTGACTGTGAAATTTCAAGCAACTTCAATCGAACGAACCAATTCCAAAATGAATTTCAAAATATTCACATTTTTAGTGTTGGCAATGGTATTGTTTATGTGCAAACAAAGTGCAGGTCAAATGCCAAGCTTGCCCAAGGCACCGGCAATGCCAGGTATACCATCTGTACCAGCGGAAATACCAAGTATGCCGCCAGCGCCAAGTATTCCATCTATACCTGAGGGTGTTCCATCCTCACCGGAAGCCATGTCAAATATGGCATCACCACCATCAATGCCTGATCCAAGCCAGATAAAAGAAAATATCGAGGGAAAAATGGAGGAGGTAAAAGGGGCAGCAGCCGTGGCTGCTTCCACGGTGCCAACGGCATAGAATCAAGCTATTGGTAACATAACATTCAATTTTTTCAATCGCAAAATTAAAACAAAATTAATTTTCAACAGGAGAAATTGTAACATGTCAAGTACATGCAACATTGCACATCACACACAAAAGAATAATAGAGGAACTTCACAAATTTTATCATAAAACCTAATCGGAGTTTGAGAAAAAAAAAAATCAAACAAATATCGACGCTTTATATCTCGCATGAATCACTCTTTTTTATTGTTAGAAAAATATTTTTTCATGGAATTTGATCAAAATCAGTTGAATAATTTGTATATGCATATTTATTGATCGTAAAATCAATAATTAACCGAATGCAGACAACAGGAATTCACTTCATTCAAACATGAAAACAACAAACCAAATTCTTCGAAGTCGTACAACGCCTGCCATTTGTGCCAAAGTATTCAAGCGAATCGGTTGAAACTAGTATTAAACTCAATAGATACGCTCGCAAAATTGTAAATTGTAAATTCCTGTATCGGTTGTAAATACATCTGAATGTCACTTTACAAATTCATTATATAAGATAAGAGCAAATAACAATGTGTATAAATCTTGAGGTTCACACTGGATGCACTGTTTGTTTCGGTATTAATAAATTGAATTCCACTATTACATCCCCATATTATATTCAATAAAGATTAATCGAAAATAGCATTTCAAGTATTTTAATTGATATTTTGAACTTTGAGATATAATTTACATAACCGACATAAATTGCAATTGCATCAATGTAATGGGAGGGTGAATTGCAAATAAATGCATATTATTGTTGTGTGCAATGCATACGCATTGATTGTCGATGTGCACGGTATAGACATCAATGAAATTGATGTCGAGAATTAATTTTCAAAGGGTGCAAATATTTATTGGCATTCAAATAAAATAAATGTTTATAACATGGTCAAAAGCCTGCTTGTCATGTTTGTGCATCATGATTAATGGTGGTTTTTTATTGCGGCGCAGTCTTTTATGATGTTCGTTACGTCAACCGTCTGGAATTTGTGTAACGTGACAAAAATATCTTTTGCACATTTTTACTTTTAACTTTTTGTCTCAACCATAAAATTGTTTGTGTGTGTGTGAAACATTGCATCCTCAAAACAGTTGCCGGTTGGAAATCAACGACACATTTCAGATTATCTTCAATTAATTCGTTGTTTGTTCAGACTAAAAAGCACCGAACAAATAATAATAATATTTGTGTTGTACGTTTTAAGTGGAAGAAATAAAGTGTTTAGTTGTCTCGTTGCATTAAGTGCTCTCTGTTCTCGTGCCAAACATCTTAAGTATCTCTTCTCTATTCTTGTTGCAAACTATGCATTGATATTTTTGTTCGTTCGTCGTCGCCAATATTATCTTGGTTGGTTTCTTTTTGTGTGTCAAATTACATATTCGATGATGTCTTTTAAAATTAGTTTTATGCTGAAATTAACGTACAACACAATACAACGTTCGATGTACTGTAATGCACACACGAAATACGAAACATCAAAAATTCAAAATATTTTTGCCAACATCAAGCGAGAATAAATGCGCGCAACAGCTGCACTTGCGCTTATGTTTGATAAAGCGCCAGCTACTGTATGAAATTAACATGGCCTGAGAATTTTGTAACATCATAATGGCTATCACGGGATACGGAATTTACTGCCATCATCAATTTATTATATGGTTTTAATTTTTAATGCAATAAAATATCTCTCGTGTTCTTTGTCTCCCGTTTCTCTTTCTCTTACTATATCTTCTCCGTCTTTCTTGTCAAGCAAATTGCGCTTGGTGGCCGTAAACAACGGTTTTCACGTCAGTTTTGATAAATTTTGTTGATATTTTCATGTTTGACTCCGTCTGCTCACCGTCGCTCACGTATCGAATGACAATTCTGTTCTTTTACCAACAAATCGATGTTGTACCACCTCACTTGGGCTCACGTTTGGCATCATTTGTAAATGTCAGAAATAATTTGAAACAAAAAAAAAACATATCAACAAGGAAATGCTGCCAGTTTATCGAATGCCATTAAATAAAATGGCATGTAACTTGAGTGCAGGTAATAGTCAATCGAAATATTCTAAAATTTGAAGCGGTTTCAAACTCAATTTTCAACAATCCATAAATATTGTATTTCATGAAGTTTTGAATGTCATACGTTATCAAAAAACCCTTTTCCATTGTGAGTGTTCAGCTTCCAAAACAATTAAACTCAGCGTACGTTGAAAAACGCTTGTAATGATCTATAGCTTCCAGCCCGAAGCCCATGACATTTCATCGCATTAATTAAAACTTGATTTAATTTATTCATCAAAACTTCAGACCAAAACACTCAAAAACCTCGTTTAAAATACCGTGTTTACTGTTTATCATGAATTGGAAAAGTTTCATTCATAAAAAGTACTGTTACGTTAGTAGATATTGTGTTTCAGGAGTTGAATTTCATTCGATAAAAACATGAAAATTGCACGATAAGCGAAATACTAATATCAATAAAACCATCAATAGAATATCGATTTATACATCTTTTGAAGCAAATGCAATACTACACTTACGGTAAGTCGTCTTAGTCACCCTTCGTTTGGATTGAAAAAATGGAGCATAAGCAACAGCTCGTTAGTACTTCGTCGATTGAATCGAGATATTGTGAATTGAGACATTGCATGCGATAGTAAAAATATGATTTACTATTTATTCGGAACGAAATGAAGTGTTGCACAGTTCAGTGTGCAGTGCATAAAATGCGCGTGACGGAGGGTGCAGAGAGATTAGTTAAATAGACGGCACCTCTATACACTCACTTACTTACGTTCTATGCGTTCTGCGATAACTGTTGATGGGTGCGATTTTGTGTCTATTTTTACGATCGGGGAATGTGGTAGAGAGTACGGTTAACGGTTTGTCCATTGTTTGTATCTCATTATTATTTTTATCCGTGGTAATTTGTCAAAAGAGCATGAACATTACAATCGTCGCAAACAGGTTCGTTGCAACGCCTTGAAATGAATATTACGCAATTGTTTTGCGTTTCTATCGCTTTCTCATATACATGTGCACTTGCGAGCTGGTGAAAATATTAGGCGGAGTTGCATTCTTGCATAACTTACGATAATAAATTAAATGACTTTCTTCTGTCACTTTTTTAGGGATTCTCCCTTTGTTCATGTGCATTGACGCACATGTTCAAATTGACTCTCTCTCTGTGTTTTTTAACAGCAAAAATCATACAGCTCAAGTCTCATTATATTACTTTTTAAGCAGAAATCTATGGTTTGAAATAGCAATTTAAATAGGCAAAAGTCGTTGTTATTGCTCATGGTCTTTTTTGTCTGGCGCTCAGTGACTTATTGAACTCTGCAAAAAATCGAAACAACAAAGCTGATTTTCACAATGAATAGCAACCGAACTAATCTATTGATGCCATTCATGCATCACGTAGAATGTGGTGCTGCAGTCGTGTGACCCGGGTCGTGTGTACATATGTGTGTAATGCACATTGTGCACACGCACGTCAATGAACCTTTACAATCTATTCACTAATTCATAACGAGAAAAAAAAAATTAGAGAGAAAAATAAATGAAAGAGAAACAACAAGAAAAAACTGATTGTTGTTACGCCGGATGTAGCTGGAAGGCTATTAGAACCGTATTTTATTTCTTATCAGCAATATTGCAATAGAGCACAGCAAATTTAAACAACTTCCCAAACCTTCGTTTCATTTTTATTACATTGCTCGATAACAATGAAGGTTCTGTCTACTTTGCTTGGCGTATCAGCAACAATTTAGAGTCAAACATGACTCTTTTCAAAACTTGAAATTCGTTCCGCACGTAAAAAACACAGTCTTGATTCGTTGCCAAAAATCTACCACTTTGAATCAAATTTCGGTCTGAGTTCAATTGCTTTGGAACCACTGCAGATACTTTGGATTTTATTGAGCCGAATAATTACTTAATGGCCTCATTTTCATTTTTCGATTGCCGAACAGCACAAACTGAATAAAGAAGAACAAAACAAAATCGTCCACGAGAAACAGAGACGAAAACGCAGATGGTGAAAGAGATGAAGAAAAATCATTTGAGATTGTGTACAAACTCTTGGTTAGGCCTCGGTATTTTGGCTGAAATCTAAGTGATCTACAGGTAAGAAACGTGTGTATGTAATCGGTATGAAAGTGTGACACATAAAATTCTTTACAGTTCGCGTTAAATCGATTATTATATACACCTTTTTCGTGACATGGCATACACCGTTTCACCGTTCACTTCAATAAATAACAATTGACTTCGATTTCATTGAAACAATGTGCTTTCCAGTGTTTACCCGATCGAAAGCGAAAGACATGCAATGAGAGATAAAAAAATATCGATCCGAAATGGAAAAAAGAGCGAGAATTGAATGACAAAAAAGGCAACGCGTATAAATCGTAGAACTCCCAAATGCCACATAGTACAACCATACCGGCTCTATCTTATCTGCAGCAGGCAAACTTTATAGTATCACATTCAGGAAACCAGACAATGTGCAGATACAGTAGCAATACGTGTGCAAGATACAGAATACACATTTAAAATAAATCCGAATTGAATGCGCGACTGACGATGACTCACCCACTGAACTATGCTGTATATAATCATATGCACGTTTTATATGTCTATATTTTTTCTCATAAGAGAGAGAGAGAGAGAGAGAGAGAGAGAGAGAGAGAGAGAGAGAGAG